ACATTACAAAAAGGAAAACCTAAAAATATAGTGTTGAGCTTTTAACATCAGTACTAACCTCTAATAACTAAAAAATTTCTTCAAGTACATACCGAAAGCTGAGTAAAAAAAAACTTTAAAAGATGAATTTTGCATAATAGGTCCCCTTTAAATCCATTAGCTACTGCATTTTTTATTGTTGTATTTATGCTCATTTAGTTGTATATCAAAAATATTCAGCTCAATCAGGAARTAGTGTCTACTTTGTTTTTGGTTTTGGAGAGTTTAGCCTGTAGCCAGCCATTAGCTACTTGTAGCTTTTAGCTAGTTGCTGCCAATTTCTTTCATGGAAAGAAACACATGAACGTCACAGGTAAAAAAAAATGTGTGATTTTTTCCCCTGCTTTTCAACATGCTGCATACAAAATGTAAAACACAAGGTCTTCCTGTTCTGCACGGTTTGAACCATGTGATTTTGGAGCATTTTGAACCCGTTAATTTGAGCCCATGTGGTCCCAGATTTTTCCACGTGTGAAAAAACAAACTCATGCAATTTTTTCATTAGGGTTTATTTATGGTTTTGTAGYTGCAGCTATCATTTATCTTAGCATTAACAGCTGCTTTTTCTTTTTTACAGAATTCTTTTTTTTTAATGTTAGAATGTTCTTTTTCCTTGCCTATGTGCACACAACCAAATAAGACACATTCAGCACTACAGCTCATTTTCTACCGGCTGTTGGAAGCAGAATGAAGCTTCTGAGAGGTGCTGAAATGATGGAGACAGTGCAAAAAGGAGGTGATAATTTGAGGACGGGCAGCTTTGGCATAGTCCACCTGGACCGCCATGCGATGTCACGCCATCTCAATTCATCATTCACTGCAACCTCACACACTGACAGCCTACTGATGAGACAGATACACACTTCACACCTCACACGGTGCTTGTTTGTCACACGCCGATCCCAGCRTGGTCGGTGGATGGGTTTCAGGAGTACGCTCATTCTGTGCACAGGCGGATGAGTATGAAAGCCTGCGCATGCATATTTAAAAGTGTTTCTGTTGTCATGAATGTGACGGTGACATCCCCTCACACGGCTTGTGTCAGACAGAGAAATGCATTAGCAGATGCTGCATGTCTAACACACTGGGCTGAGATGCAGCTGTCTGAATTATGTAGGCTACACAAGACGACTGAAGCTGCAGAAATCAAACTTTAGCAAAACTTTGTAATACTCTAACTTCATTCGTTCTCTTGTACTTGGTATTTTTTGGAGTAATAAATGATTTAAATACACAATACCTTGATATTGACTCTGAAATTACAAGTATAGTTTCAAGACATTTTAATAAGTCCAATCATTTAATCTACTGTTCCTATCATTAGTTTCAGGGACA